GCGCAGCAGGTTGGCGCTGTAGGAGAAGGTGACCAGGGTGATGGTCACGAAGTGGTGCACCACCTGCTCCTTGAAGTCCTGTGGGAGACGGTGCGTCACGGCCGGGACTGGGCGCGGCGGCCAGCGGCCCCACCACGCGGGTGGGCGCAGGCCCTCCTATCGGTGGCGGCCGGACCCGGTGGACTCCACGCCGCCTGCCTGGGGTGGATCTTAGGGTGAGGGCGCGGCCACCCCTCCCCCACAGCGACAGCATCACTTCCCCGGGCTGGCGCGGCCTCACCTTCCGCCTGATGTCGAAAGGCAGCGTGAGCAGCAGCGAGATGTAGAAACTCAGCTCCAGGAGGTACCAGCAGTACAGAGCCGGCTTCAGGGGCTGCGGAGGGGCGGGGCGGGGTTAGCTGTGCGGGCGGAGCTCCCGCGGGCGGGGTTCAGGGCCCTCTCCAGGGACACTTGGAGCCCAGTGAGTGGGGCGCTGAGTTCCCCGTCCCTGGAGGTAACCAAGGACAGGAGTTTCATGGCAGCTCTGCTCTGGCCGCTCAGCTCCTGTCCCCTCTCCACCCTGTGGGGAAGGTTGGGGACTTGGGTGTGTGTCCAGATTTTGCTCTTGGGCTGCGGCTTCAGGAATTCTGACCACCCCACCCCTACCTCTCACCTGTTTGGGGTAGTTGTCCCAACATCTTGCTGGAGTCCACAGCCATGATTCCTGCGGGGAAACACGTCTGAGGCCCCCTCCACTGCTGCACCCCAGCTCCCAGGGAGCATGATCTTGCCAAGCCTTTACCTGCTCTCGAATCTGCCTGCAACCGCCCCCCTCCCTCAACCCGGATGTGTGTGAGAGCAGGGGCAGGTAAGTGGTCAAACACACTCACATGGTAGAGGACTGAGAGACCACCGACGAAGGAGCACAGGTAGAAGACAAACCTCCAGCTGCAGGGGAAGGAGCCCATGAGGCAGCTGAGGCAAGAGCAGACCCCCCCGACCCCCTAATTACCCTTCCCCAGCCCTATCTGGGCTTACCTGGACTCACAGAACTTCTTGGTCAGGCTGGGCCGGTTCTGGTTCCGGCGTCTGCGGAACCAGCGTTGGGTCTGTCGCAGCGTGAGGCCACACTGGGCAGCGAGGAGGGCCAGCTGGGGCTGGGGAGGGGACAGGCCAGAGTCTGTCGTGGGGTGCCTCCCACTCCTGCTGAGCTGTTTCCCTTCCCCATGCAGCCTGCCTGTCAGGTTGCCGAGTCTAACAGTGGAGATGCAGGAGTGGGGGGTACTGTGGGCTGGCCCCCCCAGGGGTTTGCTTGAACCCCTTCCACCTAGAATAGCTTTACCTCCACCCCAGGCAGGCAGCTGAGACCTTGCCCTCCCCAACCCTACAAGGAGAAATGACAAGGTGGGGACCAGAAGACTCGTGTAGAAGCTGCCTTTGTGCCCCCCAGACCCAGCCTAATACCACCCACAGCCCAGACTGGGCCTGCCTCTGCCCCAGCCCCCAGAGTTGTCAGGCACTCCCCAGAATGAGAGCAACCCCCCCCATCCCAGCCCCCAGGTATGCTCGTTGGGCAGCTGGGCCCAGTGACGGGGTCCCCATGGAGTGTGGGCCCTGGAGGGCAAACCGAGCCCTCCCTGTCCCCAGAACTAGGCCCCACCCACGGCGGCTGTGCTGGCCTATGGGGGCGCTCACCTCTTTGGGTCTCTGGCTTTCCCTGAGGAAGTATTTTTCCAGGGTGGCGTTGGGCTTCACGGGCCTCCGGGCCTGATTCCGCACCCCCATCCACCGGCTCAGGGGCAGGGCGATGAATCTGGGTGCAGGGGAGTAGAACTGGTCAGCCCAGGGGAGGGAAGCGCAGGCTACTGGCGGGAAACCACGCTCGGAGGGGCTAGATCAGGGGGAGCCTGAGGGGTGGAGGGCGGCTGCTGCCCTGGACCAAACACAGGGCAACTGGGCTGGCCCGGAGCTGGGTGTGAAGAGCCACTTGGGTACCCGCCAGGCTGGGGCACCCCCCAGAAGCCCCTGGCCCCGGCAGCTGGTGCCCCACCCCCGGTGTGCACCCACCTGGAGTGCTCGTCCTTTCCCTGACCCTTTCCACAGAAGAGGAAGCTGAGGCACAGAGAGGCAGAGCGACCTGCCTGCGGTCACACAGCCCACAGGTTAGCGGGGCCTGAGGCTGCCCGCGGGGTCCGGGAGGCCGGTTGACTCGGCACCCCCACAGCGGGGTGAACACTCGGAGGAGCTGGGTCCCAGGCCCCTCGGCACACGCCCCACCGGGGGACCCAGGGCCAGATGTCCTGCCCAGTGTTCATAGCCACTGACCGTGACCACCCTCCACTTGGGGAAACAGGCTCAGACCGGGTGGGGCACAGGGACGTCACTGAGCGTGGACATTCGCCAACGTGCACCAAGGCCACACACAACGTGGCGCCCTCAGCCCGTGCATCAGGGCCTCGCTGTGCACACGGCAACGGCTGCAGGGAGTAGGGAGGGAGTGGCCGCTGGACATGGACCAGTCTCACTTCCCTCACAGGGGAGGTGCTGCCGCCATCGCCCTCACCCCGCAGTGGCCATGACGGGCGCCCTTGGGACTCCGCGGGCCTCTGCCCCAGGAGGGGCCAGAGCTGTCTGTCCCTCCTGGGCTGGTTCCGCGTGCCCTGGGCCGATCACCGCCCGGGAGGGAGACTCCAGGGCCCGAGTCAACTGGCCTCCAGGACCCCGCGGGCAGCGTCAGGCCCCGCTAACCTGCAGGCTGTGTGACCGCAGGCAGGTCGCTCTGCCTCTCTGCGCTTCAGCTTCCTCTTTTGTGGAAAGGGTCAGAGAAAGGACGAGAAATCCAGGCGGTGGCCCCAGGGGGCACTGAGACGGGTGCACATACCTGGGGTGGGTACCAGGGGCCAGGGGCTTCTGGGGTCCCGGTGCCCCCTCCTGAGCGACAGACAGGAGGAGGGCTGGGAGGGGAGAAGGGCCGAGGGGTCATGGTGTGACGGGCATGGCGGGGGCCAGGCGCCTGGGAGAGGGCAGAGGCCAGGCAGGAATTTCTCCGCCCACTGTGCCAGGCCCCTGCCAGCTGGCAAGTGGGTGCTGACCCTCCAAGGCACCCCACCCTGTCTGGGCTACCAGTGTTCCAATAAACCGGTCATCGGAGACCAGCGTGTGGGTGGTGGGCGGAGGCGGGCGGAGTGGGGACAGGTGGTACCCCCCGCAGCAGCCACACCCAGGCCACCCCGAGGGTACTCACCTCTCGAAGGTGAAGCGCAGGACCACCAGGGCCAGCGCCAGGGGCAGGGCGGCCAGTAAATCCCGGGGGTGGGCGTAGACCAGGCCATCCCGGTCCTCGAGGTCGGCCCACGAGTTGTTGGGCGGTAACCAGAACCTGTCCTGCCACAGCCACTGGCTCAGGCTGGACCACATCCTGCGGACACACGGCCGTCAGCAGGCGCGGAGGACCGAGCCGCAGGAGGGCCCCGCCCGGGCGCGCAGCTCCGGGCCTCGGAGGGCGGGTCTGCCTGCCACCCACCGCCGCGTCCCGCTCCGGCACAGGGCAGCCTCGAAGCCGCCAGGATGGGCTCGGGCGGTGTGTCCCCGGCCGACGGCCTGGCCCCGGAGCCGCAGCTCCTCTGTCAAGCAGGTGACACCCACCTGTCACCCAGCCTGTGCTCAACAACACAGCGAATAACTCGTTCTGCAGTCACACTCGTGACCGCGAGGCCAGGGAGGGTGACTGGGGCCACGATGGAGGCTTCTCGTCACGGTCACTTCAGAGGGTGCTGCTTCCGGCGCAGCCCACAGCCGGGGACTTAGGGGGACCCCCTTCCCGCCCCTGGCTGCGGCCCAGCAGCCCCCCTGCAGCCGGCAGTCACGGTCTCGCTGCTACCCAGAGCCCAGGGCTGCACCGGGGCC